AAACATGAAGCCAGGCTCTGGTGGCTCAGGCCTGAAATCCAAGCTACTCAGGAGGCTGAGATCTGAGGATCACCAGCTGAGGCAGGAAAGTCCATGAGATTCTTATCTCTAATAAAACCACTCAGAAAACCAGAAGTGGCTCTGTGGCTCAAGTGGTAGAGCACTAGCTTTGTGCTGAAGAGCTCAGGGACAGCACCCAGGCCCAGAGTTCAAGCCCCACGACCGACATAAAAAAATGGGAGGGGGGGGGACTGGGAAGGTGGCTCAGTGGTAGAGTGCTTGCCTCACTCATAAGCATGAGGCCCTGGGTTGGATTCCTCAGCACCACATAAGCAGAAAAAGTCAGAATTGGTGCTGTGGCTCAAGTGGTAGAGTGCTTACGTTGAGCTGAAGAGCTTAGGGACAGGGCCCAAGCCCAGAGTTCAGGCCCCATGACTGACAAAAAAAAAGCAAGCAAGCAAAAAAAGAGGGCTGGAAAGGTGGCTCAGTGGTAGAGTGTTTGCCTTGCATGCATGAGGCTTTGGGTTCAATTCCTCAGCACCACATAAGCAAAAAAAGCCGGAAGTGGCAGAGCACTAACCTTGAGCTGAAGAGCTGAGGGACAGCGCCCAGGCCCAGAGTTCAGGCCCACCACAACCAAAAGAGAAAAGAAAAGAAAAGATAGGGAAGGTGTATACTGGCACTCATGAAGGCAAACTCACTCTCTCTTTTTTTTTCTCTCTCTCTGGGAGGGGTGCTACTTTCATTCTTCTTTGCAATTTAAGTGTCTCCTCTACTACCTCCTTCCAACTATATTCACACGTAATCCCAAGAACAGGATTTCATATGACATACACATTGGTTGGCTGTGCAATAGTAGCGGGTTACTGGTAGCTCACACCTGTAATACTATCTACTCAAGAGGCTGAGATCTGAGGATTACAATTCCAAGCAGCCCAAGAAGACAAATCCGAGACTCTTAGCTCCAATTAACCAGAAACAATTTGGAAGTGGAGGTATGTGGCTCAAGTGGTAGAGCACCAGCTTTGAGCAGAAAAGGCCAAGGGAGAGTTTAAGGCCTGAGTTCAAGTCCCAATACCACCACCCAAAACATAACAATAACAAAAAAAGAAAACATAAAAAAAACCTCCATCTGGCTGTTTGAGCATTATCCACACATAAATAACATCTCTTACTTTTACGTAAATCACCATAAATACACATTTCAGCCTGTGATATACTTCAAACCCTCAATAAACCCAAACCCTGGACACAGATACACATATAACAAAGTCTGTGTCAAACCTTGATTCCCATACACACTGGGAGCTGGAATACATATATGCACCCTTACTCCAATACTCACACCAAAACATGGCTCTACTATCCATATAACCTGGTCATTTGTTACACAGACTCATCCTACACACTAGTCTCCCTCACACCTGCACAATTCCTTATCACCTCCACATAATACACCCCAGCTTTCCTGAACATTGATGTCTATGATATCTGGCCAGACCTTGCAACATACAGCCTACCACCAGGATATAAGATAATCCTACTGCCTAGAAAATTTGCAGCCTAACTCTGGATTGGCACATACTCTTCCCCCACTAACAAGGCAATTCCGTTGTTTTTTTTTTGGGGGGGGAGGGGGGAGAAGCAGTCCTGGGGCTTGAACTCAGGGCCTGGGCACTGTCCCTGAGCTTCTCTTGCTCAAGGCTAGCACTCTACCACTTGAGTCACAGTGCCACTTTCAGCTTTTTCTGTGTATGTGGTACTGAGGAATTGAACGCAGGGCTTCATGTGTGCTAGGCAAGCACTCTACCACTAAACTACAATCCCCGCCCGTCATTTTTTCCTTATACTTTCCAAAGCATGTAGATCAAGCAGTACCTTCAGCTTATACCCAGACACACATACGTGGTCAAATATCCTAACTTGAAAAGATCATAGCCAAGAAGGCCTGAGGTTTGAACCCTAGACTTCTAAGCCTAGTTTATACAACCCTAGCCCTGGGGCATCTCAGCAATTCTTATTCCCTGCCCCCTCCAAGCCTCAAATGACTGTCTACATGGGGATGGTGAAGTAGTATGATTCTTCTGGCTTCTGCCCAATGCTGAGAGCTCAGAACCCCATCTAGGGTATCTAGCCAGATAGGTGTTATTAGGGGCCTTCCCCTTCACTGTGTGAAGGAGGACCCTTAAACAACAAGATGTATCAATGCTCTGGCCTATCATTCAAACATCATTCCCTTTCTGTAGCAAGTCTGCTCCTGCTCTGACCCAATTCCCCTTGTGCTCAAGGCAGGAACAATCCAGATAAAGGGAGCAAGTCTGACTTAAAAGGCCCTAAAACTGGTGTGTCTGAGAGGGAAAATGACAATGGTGATGAGGGACTGCTTGCAAGAGAGGACTCATTCCTTCTGTAAGGGGCCTCAAAAGATAGCAGCTAGCCCTAGACCACAGAATGAGGCACCAGCACTGCCCCCTGCCCGGGGCCCCTGACCCAGGCCTCCAGTGTGCCTGCCCCCCTTCCTTTGTCTGTGCCCGGCCTCCCGTTGGCCTGGCGCTCTGCCATCCTCCTCTCCTGGCTTCCAGCCGCCACCACTGCTGCCTCTCCCCCTCCCCCTCCTCCCTTCCTTAACCCTTCTGAGCCACATGCTACCCCACACAAATCCTGGCCCCTCAGCATCCTGCCCAGGGAGTTACCCCTTAGCAAGGCTTGTCCCTGCTTCTGACCATTTCACCCCTGAAGCTATTTCCCACCCCAGAAGCACTAGGGAGCTTAAGTGTGGCCTGTGTATCTTGTGCTCTTTCCGCGTGTGCATGTGTGTGGATCTGTGTGTGTTCTGGCTTCCCTCAGTCACATGTGTGGGGCATGTGCTGTCTCTGCTGGGCTGGGGGAGGAGGAGGAGCCAGGAGACAGCAGAGCACAAAGGAGAGACTCAGGCAGGCAGGCAGGCAGGCAGCAGGCGGCTTGCCAGGGTGTCTGGGCCCTCACTCCAAGGCTGCTCAAGGTGGTAGTGGGGTCCTTGGGCCTAGACTGCTATATGATGCTCTTGTGTTTTAAACATGAGCTCACACCCTCCCATGCAATTCTAGTTGCCTCTCACCATAGCTTCTATCATTCCCCACCTCTCAAGCCCCTCCCTAGGTGGTTCTCCTTGAAGTCTAACCTCCATCCATCCTCCACAGCATCAATCCACAAGACTTCTTGGCAAAAAAAAAAAAAAAAAAAGATACCTTATTCTAAGCTATCTTTGTCCCTTTTCTTTCAGCCAGACCACCAAACACACAAAAGGAACTGACCGAAGTTCCCCCACCCCACACATATATATACCCCTGGGTCTGGGTCTTCTTATTGTCCTCAAGCTATTAACAGAGATAGAGTAGAAAAACTTTCTTCTTCCCCCTACTTGACCCAGGGGTTGGAGAATAAGAATAGGTCTCCAACCCCAGAGTGAGTCTCCCATCTACCTCCAACTTGACATCCCCTCCATTCACAGCCTCTACACTTCATAAAGAACCAAGATTAGGACTCAGCCCTTGGTTTTGCTCTCCTTCTGTGTATGGTGATGGAGGGACAGAATCTGGAAGTGGGCTTACAGCATGGACAGATCTGATCTAAAGTACCCAGCATGGACCAATTACAAAGAGAAAATACACCCACAAACATACACACCAAGCTGATAGGAGGAATGATGGGACCAAACTCTTTCCTTTCCTCCTCTCCCTCACACTTATGCATCAGGAGCCAGGGGTTCCAGGATCCTTAGACTCTCCTAGCCTTCCCACTGGGCCCCATATCCCTTAAATGTCAGGCTGGCAGGCACTTGAAGTGTATGCCCAGCCCAGCCTGGGTCACATGATTTTCAAGGAAGCTTCTGCACTGGCAGCTTCCCTTGGTGATGGTGGTGGTGGTGTGTGTGTGTGTGTGTGTGTGTGTGTGTGTGTGTATGTGTGTTAGGGGAAGGGTCCAGTTGGCCTCTCAGAGAACAGGACATCTGGAAAGGCAAAGTGTCTACACTAGGCTAGATTCAGGAACACTGACTTCCTGGAGAAAGCTGACTCTCAACATACAAGAGGATCAATTTGGGGACTTAGAGTCTTGGAGATGGTATTAGTGTTCTGAGACCGTCTGTCACATGGCTTTTCTGTTTCTTCCTAGCAGTTGAAATAGGACCTACCCTCCTCCCATAAGAAAAAACATACAGGCCATCCTTTGAAAAGAGCTGATATTTGTTTGGAGGAGGTAGTGGTCTACATATAATGGTCCTCCCAAAAGTTCTCACTTGGGGGGGAGGGGAGGTCTTCAAGTATTACTCCCTTAACTCTCTCCATCTCACTATTGCCTAGTCTATCTGGGGCTGCCAGATTCCCCCTCCCACTAAGGCAGAGATGCCAGACCCAAAGGCCCAATTATCTGGCACCCCCTAGGGATACCTTCTGCCCCTCAGGAGGGCCAACCTTCCCTGGCAACAGGCAGGAAGAATTGGAAGGGACAAGATGGGCCACAATCAATCCCTCCCCCCAAACAGCATGCTCAGAAAAAGCGGGGCGGGGGTGTGGGGTGGAGTGGGGATCTTAGTATATATGAGGCTGTAGACAGCAAAGAAGGGAGGGGGGGCCAAACCAAACCAGCCAATCACAACTCTATGATGACCTGAGGGGGGGGGTCAAAAGTCCAGAGTCACTTTTGATTGGCTACCACATTGGAATTCTGGGAATTTCAGTCCCCCCCGCACCCCTCCCAATTTAGCTTTTCCCCACCCCACCCCCAAAAAAACATACAAGCGATTCTCAGCTCCCCCTCCCCGAGTAAAAGGCTGCTGCGTATTTACACAGATGAGAAAACCCTCCCTCAAAAGAGGCCCCGCTTACCCCTTTCAGCTCCCGACTCCCCCCCCACACACACACGGCCTTCGACGCCCCCCACATAAGTTCTCCTCAAGCAAGAGGTGAAGGGCTCACGAGGGTGAGGGAGGGAGGGATCGGGCGGCCGCGCGCCCCACTCACCAGGACAGGCACAGCCCACTGACATCTTCACATCGCACGCCGCTGGGGGCCCAGCCGAGTCACGGTGCCCGCCCCTAGCAGGGACAGGTCGGGCATGAGCTGCTGCCGCCGCCCGCGGCTCCCGCTACCCTCACCGCCGGCCTGGTCCCCGGCCTCAGCCCGGTTCGGGTGGCCCCAGGCTGCAGTGAGAGGCCTGTCAGGCGCGGAGCAGACAGGAAGGAAGCCAGGCAGGAAGGCGAGCTGCCTCTGCGTGTGTGCGCGCGGGTGTGCGTCCCCGGGAGTGTGTGTCCGTGTGCGCGCGTGTGCGCGTGCGTGTCTGTGC